ACAAATCCCCCTACATCTATGTATGGGAAAATTGTCAAAAAAGTCCTAAACCTATTGTACGGCGGCGAATTCAGTCCTAAACCTTTTAAGTTTGCCAATTCAGTCCTAAACCTTTTTAATTCTTGCCAATTCAGTCCTTCCGGCAAACGCTGATGTGGCAATTTTTTATTATTATTTTTTCAATTTTTTAATCTTTTTTTTTTTTTTTTTTTTTTCTGATTTCTTCCTCTGGCCGGTCCGGCAACCGGCGGCCGGCCAGAGGGGAGGCCCGGCGAGGTCGACCTCGCCGGCCTCGCCCACAGAGGCGAGGCCGACCTCGCCGTCGCTACCCGGGCGACGGCGTGGTCGGCCTCGCCGCCGCCGGGCGAGCGAGGCCCGGCGAGAGCGAGGCCGACCTCGCCAACGCCCGGGTCGCGACGGCAGGTCAAGCCTCGCCGTCGCGACCCGGGCGACGGCAGCGTCCGCCTCGCCGCTCCCGGGCGAGGTGAGGCCCGGCAGCGGCGAGGCCGAGCCTTGCCGAGATCTGAGCGACCCAAGCGACGGCGAGGTCGAGCCTCGCCGAGATCCGGCGAGGCTCGACCTCGCCGTCGCGACCCGAGCGACGGCGAGGCCCAGCGACGGCGAGCCGACCTCGCCGTCGCCCGGGTTGCGACAGCGAGGTCGACCTAGGCGACGGCGACTCGCCGTCGCGAACCAGGCGACGGCAAGGTCGGCCTCGCCTCTGCTGGGCGAGGTCGGCGAGGTCGACCTCGCCGGCCCTCCCCTCTGGCCGGCTGTCAGTCGCCAGACCGGCCAGAGGAAGAAATCAGAAAAAAAAAGATTAAAAAAGATTAAAAAATTAAAAAAAAAATAAAAAAAATTGCCACGTCAGCGTTGGCCGGACGGCCGGCGGCCATGTCAGTATTTGGCCAAAAATTGGCCGGAAGGACTGAATTGGCAAGAATTAAAAAGGTTTAGGACTGAATTGGCAAACTTAAAAGGTTTAGGACTGAATTGGCCGCCGTACAATAGGTTTAGGACTTTTTTGACAATTTTTCCTATGTATAAACACTGGTTTATCAAGAATACGCAAGAAAAACACTTCAATCGTTAATTCATTACCAAAGATGGCTTATAACCAACAGTTCATTATCTAATGGATTTTTCGTATAGGTGAGACGGTTTTTCCAAATTGCAAATAGTGTTTGGTAAAATATAATTTAAAAACACATTTGGAAGCATCTTTGACTTAAATGCCAATTGGGAAAAGCTACACTTTGTAGAAGACTTTTGCTAATTTTTTTTTTTAAATTTCTCAACCCTTTACCAGTGGAACTCAAGCTGTCGGCTAGTAATTGAGTCCTTAAGGCAAGGGCATTCGAGGGCATTTATGTAATTATGAAAGTTTAGTGAGGATAAAGTTGGAAGAAATAAAATATTGGCATTCTGATAATGGTCAAAACCCTAAGAACCTTCGGAATTGCTTAGATTAAAAGCCTTTAGAGCCTTTTGAAAAAGCAATTATATCTCCTTATAACTCTTCAAAAAATCTGTCAAACAGTACTTGCATTTGCCTAAGAGCTTTTAGAGCCCAAGAGGCTTCAGAAAAGTGGTTCTCAAAACGCACCGTTCCCCCATCAAAGGCCATAAATCAGTGTCATATCAATCAAATTGCCAATAGTCTTTTTGGCAACATTGAACACCGTCCATATATGAACATATAAATAAAATATGATTATAACTCATGCACTCATGCTCATAAAAAAAAAAAAAAAGTTAAGGGGGATCTAATGATTTCTTTGCGTTTGTACTTATTTGCTGTTGGTCCAAGATCGTGTACTTTGAACGACAAATTTTACTTTCTGGGCCCCTCTTTCTCAATCTTCTAAGTGCACTTCAATCATGCTCTCTAGCTTAGCCAGTCACCACTTTGAAATGATGATAATACTAATCAAATTACAAAGCATCGGCATTTAGCTTAACGGTTGAATTTGATCAACAACGTTGCGCAATCTTACTTTTCTACCTTGACTTCCTTTTCCTCTACATGAATCTTTTCTATTCATCCACTCCATGACCCCTATAGATATTCCATCTTTAACATTAATTGGACTTATTGCGGAGTCATTCATTTGGATAACTTAAACTTTTATCGTGATACTGCTGCTGTCTATCTGATGCTTATACGCCTTCCTGATTAAGCAAAATAATACAGTCTGAAGAAGTAATTTCCCAAATGAGTGGTCAAAGTGATGCAGTGATCATGAACTATGAAAATGGTTTGGTCATGTCACGATATCAAAATGGGAATAGGATGCACGTGTAGCCAATTATGATTCTCTGCATTGAGATTGACGAAACAAACAGCAGCTTTGAAGAAACATCCATGAAAAATGTCTAAGAAAAGCAATTCAAAAGAAGCGATCGAGAGAGAAATTGGAGAGCCATCATGAAAGAAAGAACACTTTTTACACTGCTCTCTACTTGGTTCTTGAAGCCTGCACAGCCACAGCAAAGTCGCGAAAGAGAACGCGAGATCCTTTTTGCATGGTCTCCAAGAACCATAATTGATATCTTGAGGCTTTTAAGACGAAAACAACTCCAAAGTCTTTTAGGGGCAACTGATTGCCAGCAGAAATGAGCTGTTCAAGCATCGTGTCGCCTGATAATATCATGTTCACACAGACAAGGCTCTTTTGATCTTGAGTGGAGGAATCTTCTAACTATGCAAGCCCCATGATGTGCTGATGAGGCAAAGAGAATTTTGAATAAGGAAAAAAGCGTTTCTTTCAAAATCATCATTGCACAAGGGAATGGAAGGGGAAAAAGAAAAGATAACTTGTGACAGGAAAAAGGAAATTGGACTATCATCATGAATTTGAATGAGGAAGGTGGGCCACTTTAAAGATTGTGGGCACTAGGGGCAAGCTCACGTTCAAACGTTTCTCGTCCTTTTGACCTTATGATGATGGTATCCCCATTAGTGCCTCGTTCACATTAGTACATCATGTCAAATGATTTCATATTATATACGTTGAGTGCGCTTCTTGACAGTCAAATAGTAAAAAGTTATACCTGGTGTCTAGGGTTTGGGTGAAGAGTCTGAGGTTTGACATATTTTGTTTCTTTCCTGCCGATTACCCAGCCACCCTTAAAAGTATTAGGATAATATATGTTTTCTTACACATCAAATGGCCTTTGTAGTCTCAAAAGCATTAGTCCTTCTCATGTGAAGCTTGTTCATATATATATATATATATATATATATATATATATATATATATCAGTTTGGTATAATGACAATGAGAAGCCAAAGGCCGAACTGTGAAGTAGAGATTCTGTTTGTGTTTTTTTTTTTTTTTCAGAAAACATCTTTTTAGACATTTTCTTCTTATAAGAAAACGAAGCAAAACGACATATCCTTTATGAATGATATACTCATTTTGGTAAAAAATCCGTTACTTTATTTAGTTGCGAAAGTCACATATATTAGTAAGGTTGGTGGTTGAGTATAAAAAAATAAGTCCTTATATTCAGAGTTAGTCAATTTATGCATATTGCCAAATCATTGAAAAGCTTAAACTTGGTTTTGATTAGCTTATATAATGATCTAGAAGTCATCTATATGAATTGATCATGAATTTGAGGAAGTCTTACTATTGACCAGAAATAGTGAGTAGAAACATTCGAGCCATGCACCTCATTTTATCCTATCCATCTATCTCTAAACTTTTTAAATGAATGCAAGCATGACTTGATACTTCAAATACTCCAACCAATTGAAGACATAATTCTCGAAATGACCAAAAAGTAGTTAAATCCTTTGACCACTCATCTGTTGTTCTGTACTCAGCCTTTGTTAAAAGGAAGATTTTTCTTGAAGTATGCGAGGCTGAGGCATGTAAAGGAATTAGAATTTCTTCACTGTCTGGCTACAGCCTTCTCATGCTGGGACTTTGGCTGTTGCATTCTTTTTTTTCCCCTTCAGATTCTAAAGAATAACCGACAGTAAAGCATCGGGTTTAGGACATTGGTCCCCTCCAATATCAGTTTTGTGTTGGCCATAAGGCCTTTGACACAGGACAATTCAGTCAGTCGTCAGGGTCTCTTTTCTCTACTATATATGGCTATGAAATTCGAGAGAGAGAGAGAGAGAGAGAGAGAGAGAGAGAGAGAGAGAGAGAGAGAGAGAGAGAGAGAGAGAGAGAGAGAGAGAGAGAGAGAGAGAGTTTTTCAGAGTTGATTTTAACTTTTGTTTTTTTGTTTGATTTTTATTGAATAACGAAGACAAATCTTTGAAAACCTATATGTATATGCATACGAATATGTAAGGACATTTGATATAACTTGAATTTCTTTCCATAATTATTTAAAGTAGGATGAATTTATTAGAAAAATCTATGAGTAACTCTCTAGTTTCAAAAAGTTTCTACAAATAGGACAAACTCACTTGTGCTTCTCAATTTTTCAAGCGAAGTGCTTGCATAGCATCAGTACAACTTACAAAGGAGGATGATCTATAGCTTCTACTGATGAACCCTTTAAAAATCCTTCCTTTCAATGATCGACTTAAACCTTCGTGTAAAGGAAATGATTGTCCTCGTCGCGGTTCGATATATGATGGATGGACGAGCTAGTGGAGGCCGTCGCCCTTCTTGATCGTTTGGTGCTCGGTTTAATTATTTTAGTAAGTACCATAGGACATGAAATTTTATGTAGAACTTTTGTATCTTGCCTCGACTGAGCTAGGTTTCTTCATCCACCACAGCCAGAAATATGTCTCTAGCGCCATGATTAAGTCCTCAACTATGATAACCCTTCATCTCTTCCTTTTTTTTTTTTTCTTCTATACCATCTTTTAGATCTTCTCCTCTCTTTTTCCCCCTTTTCTTTGTTTATTTCGGGCATGGGAAGAAGAAAGTAGAAGTTAGACTAGGAATGAAGCTTGTGGACCATCCTTTCTCAGCTATAACTAGTGAACCATGGAGAGAGAATGGACATTCATCTAATTCGACATCACGTAGAGAAAAACCTATAGTCTATAATATTACATTGCATCAGTCTATCTACACCTTTACACTCAGTAGTGCATGTCAATACATCCCATCAAACAAAGCATTTGAGTCACAAGAACTATACTCAAACCCTTTCTCTAGTTTCGGACCAAAAAAAAACATGAAAGGAAAAAAACTTCCAAAATTTGACAGATAAACAGAAAAAGAACCCAAAATCATGGAGGCAAAAGAAAAAAAAAACCCCTAAGCAAGCGAAGAAAATTTTAGGGCTAAAACACAAGAACTCCTCCTCAGTACGGAAGCTAGGGTTCTGTATACGTCGCTGGCGCATGGCCTTGCCGAGGGATCGCTTGCGGTGCATTGAAGAGCCAAGTTCATGGTTTCCACCATCTCGTTCGGATGATGCAATGTAGTCCCTTTGATCACGGGATCGGTCCACGCGTCAAGATGACAGTCCGAGTAGCAATACCGAGCCCACTCTATGATGCTCTTGTGCATGCCTAATTCAGCGTCGGCCGGTGATTTTCCGGTCAACATTTCGATGAGGATGAGACCAAAGGCATAGATGTCACTCTTCACAGTGATTTCTTTGGTTTCTCCAGCTTCTGCATAGGAAATGATAAAATACATTCTTAAAATTTTATCTAGAAAAAGTTCACGAGTTTTCTTAGGTAACGTATCAATCCAGTTTGATAATATTTAGTTATTAGCTAATCTAAGCCAATGATAAAACTAGTATAGCGCGTTGTATTTCATGGAGTAATAAATATGTGACAATGTTTCATCATTTTGATAGTGAATATATGTTGACCCATGCATGTGAAATCTTTTGTCATGTGATGAATAATTCTCCTGAAACGACTCACACTAAAGCTGTCATATAGTACGTCGACATGCGACAGTGCGTTTTGGAATTTTGCAAACATTTTCCAGCGACCGTAAACTAATGAAATTCTTCGACCAAAAAAAAAAAATCTAATGAAATTCACGATAATTTACCAAACAATTCCTTATGCAAATGAGTTAACCAAAAAATTCTTAAATGTACACAACAAAATGTACCTGGGGCAACATAGACAGAGGAAATGAAGCACTTATACTTGTCCGTACAAAGCATCCCGGGAAAGCTCAACCTCAGGCGTGGCTCGTCCTTCTTGTCCACCATAATCTTCTCTGGCCGCAAGTCGCCGCCGACGATGCACGGCGAGCAGTCATGGTGCAAGAAGCGGAGCGCTTTCGCTACCCCGATCGCGATCTTACCCCTCCTCTCCCAACTTAGTCCTCGCAGGGATTCGCTCAAGCTCTTGCCGTCAACGTGCTCATAAATGAAGAAGCCATTTTTATGTGACGTGCACAGTCCCATGAGCTTCACTATATTGGGATGCTTAAGCTTCCCTAGTTGAAGAACCTCCATCGTCACACTCGGCGAGTCCAAGATGTTGATATCATTAATTTCCTTCATGAAAAACTTCATGTCCTTTGTGATTGATCTACCTCGGTAGGAGATCCCCTCTTTTCCTCTAGAGATGATGTTCTCTTCCTTGGCTGAATTCAAGATGTCGTCCAACGTTATCGACCTCGAAAGCTTGGGGTTGAAGCAGTGCATTTCCCACGCCCCGTCCTTGCTCTCCACTCTCTTTGGCTTGAACTGCCTTCTCCGTCGAATGGCCATGAATGCAAAGGCAGAGAGAGCAGCCGCCATTAAGGCTGCGAGCGAGCAAACAACCAGCAACCACAGTGCAGAGCCCTTTGTGCCTTCGCATGGTGGCAGGCCAGTGGCCACATCGCTGCTGCACAGGTCGTTGCCTGCAACAGCGCTTGCGTTGATGGCGAGAAACGCTCCGGTGGGTGGTAAGCTGCCATGCAAGCGATTGTGGGATATATTTACCTGAACAAGTGACTGGACATTCCCTAAGTTTGATGGGATCTCACCGCACAATTCGTTCTCCGAGAGGTTGAGGTCACCGAGGACCGGCATGTTAGAGATGCTCGAAGGGATTGGGCCGCCGAGTTGGTTGGAGCTCAAGTCTAGGGTTACAAGCTTCTTGCATGAGGACAACTCTTCAGGGATATTGCCCAAGAGCTTGTTGTTGTTCAGCTTCAGTTGCATCAACTCTGATATTGTCCCATAACTCCTAGGAATTGTCCCTGAGAACCCATTTTCTGACAAGTCCAGATTTTCAAGATTTTCACTCCCAAAGCCCACAGGCAAATTCCCTGAAAATCCATTCCTTGCCAAATTCAGCATCTGAAGTGAGGGCATGTCCCATCTCTGCTCCCCAATCTTGCCTAACAGGTTGTTGCTTGATACATCAAGGTAGTACACGAGCGGCAGTCTTGTGAACCCGGGGGACAGTTCTCCGTCGAGGCGGTTGTTCTGGAGCCGGACTCGCCGGAGGCTCTTGCAGGAGCTCAAAGGCTTGGGGATCTCTCCTTCAAGTGAGTTTGAGAAGAGGATGAGCTTGAAGAGACTGCCTGAACCACACAAGCCTTCTGGGATCTTCCCTGTGAGGGAATTAGTGGAGAGGTCGAGCACACTCAGGTTGTTCTGCTTACCTAGGCCTTCAGGAATTGGGCCTGAGAAACCATTTGACCAGAGTTGGATGACTTGAAGCTTATGCAAGGAGGACAAAACGTTGGGTATCTTCCCTGTGAAGTTGTTTGAGAAAAGATGGAGAATCTCCAGGCTTTGCATGTGGATTATGAGCTCAGGGATTTCACCAGAGAGGGAGTTTTGACTCAGGTCAAGAGAGATCAGCTTCTGGAGGCCAAATATGGGTCTAGGAATTGGACCTGTGAGCTTGTTCCGGTACAAGAAGAGGTACTCAAGACCACTGAGGTTTCCTAGAGATGGTGGGATTGGACCAGTGAGGTTGTTGGTGACAAGATCAAGATGGTTCAGAGTGGACAAATCACCGATCTCACTCGGGATTTGGCCAGAGAGGTTGTTGTACCCTAAATATATCCACTTCAAGCTCTTCAGTTGTCCTAGCTCTCTTGGGATTTCACCCACCAGTTGGTTAGAGGCCAAGGTCAAGACCTCCAAGAATGAGATATTCGATATCCATGCAGGGATTCGACCCGTCAGGACGTTGCCTCCAAGATCAAGGACCTTCAGGCTAAAAAACATCCCAATATGTTCAGGGATTTTCCCTGACAACATGTTGTTTGACAGGTCCAAGGTCTCCAGGTGGGCGATTGAGCCGCTTGGGATCGGACCAGTGAGATTGTTGTTGCTGAGGTTGAGGTGCCTAAGGGTGGAGCAAGAAAATACATTGTGGGGGATCTCACCGGAGAGCTTGTTGTTGGAGAGGTCAATTTCTTGTATGTGACCCATCTGAAATATCGATGGCTCAATCTTGCCAGACATGTTCTTCCCAGAGAGCTCGATCTTGGACACATGAGACAATGAATTGTCGCAGGTCACACCACTCCACTTGCAGAAACCAGTGGAAGAATAAGGAGAAGCTGATGAATTGATCCAGTTGGATAGAGACCTCAGTGGGTCATCAATGGAGGCCCTGAAGGACAAGAGAAGCCCTTGATCATCATATTCATCTGATCCCTCCGGAGCATGTGAGCTGAGGAAGAGGACTAGTAACAAGAGGGGCAACATCGAAATAGCACTGTTCTTCGCCATCTCTAATTGTATGTATAGATCACCCGGGTAAAGAGACAAACCACGAACTGGGCTATTTCAAGAGCCCCGAGAACCCTTTCAGCTGATCAGCAATTTGAGAGCTTTTGCAGATTGAGCTGAGAAAGAAGAAAAACCAAAGAGAGAAAGAGAACATTAATTAAACAACATTCGAGTCGAACCACTCATTGCCATTAGATTCTTCCAACTCAGTGTGAAGAAAAAAGCGTAATGATTGAAGCAAAGAGCTATAGCTTGAATTAATGCATTGAGCAACATAACTAAAAGCTGTTAAACACATACAACAGTAACAAGTCAATAGAAAACTCTAGATTTGCACCAAATGATTGCCGGAGGGTGAAAACCAAAAGAAAAAACTGAGGCTTGAACATAAGACTAGGTCAAAGGCACTTGACTCACCTGAGTATAATTGTCATTAGACCACAGTGTGCTCGAGAAGATTACTTCAGGGACGTCAATGAGTCAAGAAGAAGAGGACGACATGTTCATGTGTGCTGGTGAAAACTACTGAGATGGTGGAGAGTGTAGGGTGTAGAAAGAGCAGTGAGGAATAGAGTGTTTAAATAGATTGCCAGGGTTTGTGGTGGAGGTGGAGGGGGTGAATCATAAAAAGGGGGCATGGAGTTGGCGAGTAATTGCGAAATTGCACCTTGACCTGCCTTTTGAATCTACTGCGTTTTTCTTGAACACGAACGGTTGAAAGGGAAATAGGGACAGATGTTGGAAAAAAGTCGCTGATTTTGTCGGATGTATGTTCTCACCAGAATGCTCTTTTTGACTGGCGTGACCATCGTGTATTTGGGATAGCGACAAAGAAAGTTTTGTGTAAAACCCATTCTGAGAGAGAGAGAGAGAGAGAGAGAGAGAGAGGGAGGAGTTTGAACGATTTTTACGGGCATTTGTTTGGCGCATGTTGTGCCTGCCCTTGCCTTTACTCATATGCTTTTTGCAAGTAACGTATGATAAAACCAAATTAACTATTAGAATGGTAAGTATTGATATGTTATCCGGTTGTGATAATTGAGTATTTAAACTTAGCGTAACAATGACTCCAATTGTACCGCGAAACGTTCTTCCAATCAATTGATCTGATTAGATCCAAAAGCGATATTAACTTTCTATTGCTAAACACGACATGTAAAAGCAATGCAAAATTTTCCTTTTCTACTCTAGGATTTGGATTCACACTATTAGGATGCATATGTAAGTTGCGTTAGAGAAATTCCACATCAAAGAATTGATATAGTATAGAGCAGTTAATATATTTTAGTTGGCTCATAAGTACTCATTGGTTTAAACTTTTAAGTGAATGTGAGTTTAACTAGATACGGGCTCGACTTGAGCTCTCTCTTGGTGATCTCCCCAGGTGTAGGTATCAAACTTCTGCTGCAATCTCCTCCCGGATTGGTAGCCCACTCCCAATGTGTATAAGCAATCTCCTTGGGTGCACATATCGGATTTCTGTTGCGCTCTCAATACACACCCTCCCAAGTAGACTGCCGCCCCCCTTCCTTGCCAATGTCTACAATTACTAGACCGACCACTAGTGGTGGTTATATACCGTATTTAATTAAATTGCAATCACAGTGCATTTTTATTCAACGACAACCCAATATAGAGAATATGGACTCGCGTTCGGTCTTAAGAATAGTTTGATTGTCTTGAACTTATGTAACATAAAGATGTGGGTTATATTTTCCTTCATCCCTGATTGAAAAATTATCCCCCTACGATGTCTTTGTTTTGGTGAGTGCAAATTATGGACGGCACTAGCATACAAATTTAACTAAATAAATGTGAACACTATCCATGTTGATAACCCGTCAATAAAAGAAGTGATTAGAGATCTAGGGACCGAGGAAAACATGATACGAAAAAGATGTGGTTTTGTTTGGTTAAGCAAATTAAAGATGTGCATTTTCGAGCAATATTTTTTGGGGCATGGACGAGCAATAATTAATGAAGGCACGTTCTAAATAATGGGTGTATCCTATAGTGCTTTACAGCAATTAATGGCTGGTTGGAAAGAATCAGTACACAAGACACAAACTTCATTCTTTTACTAGGCAGCTAATTAGCTGGAATGTCTCCTTGTTTCTTTGACCAAAGCAAATACATAGATTTGAGTGGTCATTGAATGTTTCTTATAATGAGCTCTTGACCAAGAAATAATGATGACAAAAGATTTGAGGGGCTGATTATTTTCGCAGGCCACTTTACAGAACATTTACATGCAGCTTTCTCGTAAGTGAATAGTGCAAAGTTGTGAGTATGAAGTTCTCTCTGCATGTCAAAAAAGCAATCTTTCTTGAGACCCTTTTGTTTGGACTTACATGATTATCTAGGATTCTCCCCCAGTTTCCCACGCAGTACATGCTGAAACAGTTCTAATATCCTTCTCAGAGAGAGAGAGAGAGAGAGAGAGAGAGAGAGAGAGAGAGAGAGATGGCAGAGACAGAGGAGATAGAAGAGTGGCAAAGAGGAATGAGAATAATGGTGGGGTACAGAAGGTTTAGAAAAAGTAAAAGCAAGTTGGGACGAAAGGGAAAAAAGAAGGCCATGTTTTTCAAATTAGTAGTGGACCAATCTCTGTTTAATGTTTTTTAGATTGTCAATTTATACATATACAACTTGTGTAAACTTTCGTTTAATTTGATGAAAAACGTGTCCTCTTTTTATCCGATGAAACACTTAATCTTCAATGCGCGTCGTTGTCGAACTAATCTTTTTTCTAAACTTAGAATATAAAATTGACATTCATCAAGGATCCTATTTGCAGACGGAACTTCACACAGGCCATGTACATAACTTTTATTTTGCTAATTTTTACATAGCAGAGTAAAGCATATTTTTAGAAAGAAAAGAAAGAAAGTGGAAGGCCTTTGGGCTAAAAAATTTAAAGTGCTCTCGTGCGCATCTTTCTCTCTTCATGTGAAGGGACCTACCCGATCGTCTTTCTCGAAGGAATATACAGTGAGTGGTCTTTGTCACCCCGGCATGCTTTCTTCATCCTCCATTTTCTAGGGTTTTACACCTCCACGCCCATTCCCCTCTGCATCCCCACAACTCCTCCCAAAAAGTCTTTGCCTTTTCCCCAACTAAATTCTAAGTATAATGTCCAATGAGAAAAGTTAATTGAACTCAGCGTTTCTCTTTGTCCTCCTAGGTAGGATGAATATCTGGTGTATCTCACGATTTTCGATTAAGTAAGATGTGTAGATAGTTGGTATTATATAGAAGTTTGGACAACCCACTTTGAAAGGTATATGCTAACTTTTCCCTTACGTGGGTTGTTGTGCCACATAAAGTGGACTTTAGGAGTCTATCACTCTACACTGCAAACGATAAACAACATGAATTGGTCCATGAGATGTGAGAAACCAGTGAAAAGTATACCCCTAGTTGGACAAAGCTTTAGAGGATTGCACATATTGACATAACGGGAAGAAGGTTATGTGATAGTATACATGTTCTCTTTCATGGATAATAATCAAACAACAAAATACATATCCATGTCATAACTATCTATTTAGCTATAGTTGTTTGTTATCGATTATGCGTTGGTTACTGGATCCCCGAGTAATCGTGCATCCATGCTCGTTCTCCTGGATTATAAAAAGAAAAGAATATACTATGACATTGGGACTTGAGGTGATCAATGGGCGGGCCGGACGAGGCCCTTGAATTTGGCCGAAATTATAGCCTAGGCTTGCCCATCAACAAAAGTATATTTAAATTTACAGGCTGGGTGGGCTAGATCAAGTTCAATTGAGCCGATCCGTGCCCTACAACTATAAAGCCTTGTCCGGACTCGCTGAAAGATGCCTTTGGACACTTGTGGCTCGGACTAGACCTAGATTGACTTTCGGCCACCAGGGTTGTGATCGGGCCTAATTGAACTGTATGTTACTTTTGAAGAAAAACCTGATAAGTATAGAGAGAGGATCATATTACATGTTCATACATTTCAAATGCAATGTGGTTGACTACAGTAAAATCACACAAAAAATAGCATCACTTATTTAAGAACTTATCTATGATGCGACAAGTCCATATCTGGTTGAATGTTGATTTTTGCATTTTTCCTTAAAAAAGCTAGCATTATATTATTTTCTTCGATGAAATCACTACCTGCCGGAGTAAATTAAGTAGTTGTGGATATAACTGCTTAGCGCCACATCAAGTATCCATTGTGGGGCTCTTATTGCAGCAACAACCTCATATATGTACACCTTAACTAATCATTCTCTTAAACCAAGAACCCTTTTTTAAGTGCAAACGTTGACTGCTTGGACAAGCAGCTGAAAAGTATTTTTCTTTCCCTCTCTCTTCTCTCTCCATTGTCTTCTTCAGCCTTCAGCTATGGGGGAGGTTTTGAGCTAGTCTCACTCTCCCCTCCCTCTTATTTTTCTTCTGTCTCGATCTAAATTTGGCAACTCTTGTCTTCTGGTCTAATTCTAGATTTGAGAGTTTGAACTCTCACGATCTAGTATTCTCTTCCGATTTAGATATTAAAGTTTAATAATGTTTTTGGGGATTCAACTCACGTGCTCTGTTCATGTATAGGTCCTTTACCTCTAGTTTCAATGGCGATCATAGGAGCTCTGGCATATCGCTGAACTACGAAGATTTGCTCTTCTAAAAGTTAGATATGTTTTTATTCAACCTATTTTAGTTGTCTCCGTATGGCGATAGTGTAGAGGAAGCCGAGCTTAGGCGCACAGCGCCAACTGGCAATACCAAAGTTATCGGAGAAGGAATTTCTGGAGTGTGCTCATCACCAACAATGATATGGGATCCTGTGATCAATCGCCGATTATTTTATTTGACAGATCCATTTTTATGGAACTAGTGTGTGCTTAATCCTGCCAGTAATCTATTGATCCTCTTTATTTTTTGGATTTGGCTTTGTTTTGTAGTATTTTGGGCTTTGCTCTACTTTGATTCTCTTTGCCATGAAAGTTTACGTACTTCTTATATATCTTTTGGAGTAATGAATACAATTTTCTTTCGACAAAAAAAAAAAAAAAACCAAGTACCCTTTTTTACCAACATATATTTGAACTCAAATCTCTAATTGTCTCGAAGGGACCGGAAGATCTTGCTAGAAAGTCCAACCCATAAACTTAAACTTACATGTGGAGGGAAACTACATGAATATAAAGAGTACTTAGAGCCATTGTCAATCGATGTGAGACAAATGCTTCAACAGACCTATTGTTACATCACAACATCTGCCTTCACTCATGGTTTGTCTTGTGAGATCATCAATAGGACATTGCCATGATCTATGAAGTTTCTTTCTCACTATACTCATAAAAGATAACACGATACATGTTAAGGGGCATGTAATCAATCAATGTTTATCATACCATTTGATGTGAATAGTAGTGGAAGTCTGTTTTTCATCCTAGAAGATTTGAGAAGAAGTCCAAATCCGAACTTATTAACATACTAACTAGACTAAGAATTGCTTGAGAACTCACAATGTTGAGTAAAAACCAACTCAATGGCTTAATTCCACCACGATACCCCAACCTTATCTTATGTGGAACACCTA